AAGGATTGTTAAGTCGGTACTCGGTACAACCGACCCGAAATTTCAGTGCACTAGCAATTCATACCGGTAACCAACTGGAACATATGATTTTATTCTGTAAATAACCATATCTCAGGCAGCGGTCCGTATTATTTGGATGGTCGTTTTAGTCATGCTTTGATTACGCGGGAAATTGCACTTCACACAGCCGCCAGGCCCGCCACTGTTGCTTCCCTTACCATTAATATATTACAACATGGCCCAAACTAAAAGCTCAATTTGTATTTTTTTTATTTTTCATTCTTAAATATACAAAAATATATATATGTGACGTCATTAACCACGTCACCTCTAATCTTGTCTATATAAACAGCATTTTGGCTGCAGAATTTATTACATATCACAATCATGGATTCATCTCCAATTAATGTTCCGAGATGGACACCCAGCTCCAGTCCATCTGCCAACCTTATCATCAAACCTGTGATAAGCCATGATTACGGCTCCGATAGCTTCGCTTCTTCATACGCCGATCAAGCTACGCCGCCGCCGGCCAACGATTCGAAGCTGGGCTTTCCGTTCAGCGTCGGCCGGCAGCCCTCCGACGGTGGCTCAGTCCGCTCCGAGTCGTCGGAGATGGGGAGGTACCGTGGTTCGTTGAATATTGATAACGGAGAAGAGAAGGATTTGGGAGGTGGGATTTACTTGACGTGGAAGGATTTGTGGGTGACGGTGCCGGAGAAGAAGAAGGAGGCGGCGGCGGCGGAGGGACGGCGGCCGATTCTGGCGGGAGTTAGCGGCTACGTTGAGCCGGGTGAGGTTCTGGCTGTCATGGGGCCTTCTGGTTGCGGAAAGTCCACTCTTCTTGATGCACTGGCAGGTAATTTTATTATTTTTTGTTTTTCCATTTAATAAATTATTATTTAATTACAGAAAAAAAAGTAATATTTGTTTAATTAATAATTTTATATTTCCATTTAATAAAGTATTTAAATACTGAAAAAAGTAATATTTGTTTTAAGTTTATGCCAAGTAGGCAAGTACTACTTTCTTTTTTTCTTTTTTTGAACATATATGCCACCTCGATAAATTAATAAACTCGTCTAAATAATAGTATTTTTTTTGTTCTAACTTGGTAAAAACGTACTTAAATTATTAATTTCATAGTTTAACATTTCACTAAATTAATAGAATTTAGTTTCGAGTGTATTGTGTAAACAAAAAATTGAAATTTAAGGGTAATGACTTAATTTATTATAAACTATATATATTTATTGAATTTTTGAAATATAAAAATAATACAATTAAGTAGTATTATTTTATTTCTCACTTGGGCCTTTTATGAAGAGGAATGACAGCCAGCTAATCATTTTGTTCGGTGGGTGGGCAGCACAAATTCTCGATTATTTATTATTTATTTATACAATAAATATAATACATAGGAAATAAAATATTAAAACAAATTTTCAATAGTTTATAGATCTAATATTAGTTAGTAAGATCTACTTTGCTTGTAGTTAATTAGGAGGTCTCGAATATTCTTAATTTTCAATGGAAAAACTAATTAATTAGTTAGGAGGATCTACGTTGCTTGTATTAGATCTATTTAAGTATTTATTAGTTTGATATTAAATGTAATTTCTCAATAATATTCTTAATTTAACAATAACTACATCCTAACTTGTATTTATTGACACGATTTAATAATTAATTACAAATTGGCAGTTGATTATAAAATTTATTTTGAATATTGTATGAAAACATATAAAAATAATTTATATATAAACAAAAATTTATATATGTCTATATAGTATATTTATAAATACGCCCCCATAATTTTAATATTTGCACATTTCCCTCAAACTCCCGTTTTCTCGTGTCCGTTTTCTTGTGTCCCCATATCGCTGTTTCCGTGTACGTGATAGCTAATAATATTTTTTATTTAATTAATATTAGCATTTAATTACCAGGGAGGCTAGATTCCAACACAAGGCAAAAGGGAGAGATTCTCATCAATGGCCGCAAGCAAGCACTAGCATTTGGCACCTCTGTAAGAAAATCTATTTATTTTATGACATTTATTTATGGGTTGAATACACTTTACACCCCTAAAGTATAGCCTAAACATTTACTATCTTAAAATATTATTTGTTACACTTATCCCTCAAACACAATTTAATTTGTATTTTAAATTCTAATACCTTCAAATTTTCTCTTTTATTGACAGGACTAACTAAAAGAATAATTAAATTATACAACTAAAAATATCTTTAGAAAAATGCAATATTTTAAAATGTTAAAATATTATCTTGCTTTGGGTACATATTTAACTAAAATTCTAATTGTTGTTAGACCGATTAATCAAATACATTTATGTCGATAAATTTTAAGAAATCAATATATAACTAATAGTAATCTTAAGTATTAAGTTTATTAATTTCTTAAAATATATTTCATTCATTATTATACAATATATATTATTTTTTAATTATTTTTCAATAATTCAATATTAGTTACTTTTCAATTTTATATGAACCAATAATTATTAGATTGTTATGTTTATTATGTTTCAAATTTAAATAAAAAATAATTGATGTTGAGTGGGGAAAGTGTTACAAATGATACTTTAAGAGGGTAAATATTACATAGGCAATACTTCATGGGTGCAAAGTGTATTTCACCCTTTATTTATTGTTGAACTTAGAAAATGTTGAGGGACGTAGTGCAGCGTTTTTGCCCTATGCTGTCTCCGTCACTAAATATCGATTAATATATATATTAGGCATACGTGACTCAAGACGACACCTTAATGACAACGTTGACCGTACGAGAAGCGGTCCACTACTCCGCCCTCCTCCAACTCCCAAACACAATGTCCAACTCCGAAAAGAAAAAACGGGCCGAAGACACTATCAAAGAGATGGGCCTACAAGACGCGGTGGACACGAGAATCGGAGGGTGGAGCGTGAAAGGGCTCAGCGGTGGACAAAAGAGGAGAGTGAGCATTTGCATCGAGATATTGACGAGGCCCAAACTTCTATTTTTGGACGAGCCCACGAGCGGTTTGGACAGCGCTTCTTCTTACCATGTCATGAGCCGTATTATCAAAATCGCGCGGCAGGATAGACGGACGGTCGTTGTCTCGATTCATCAGCCGAGCGGGGAGGTTTTTGATCTCTTCCATAATCTTTGCCTTTTGTCATCTGGAAGAGTTGTTTACTTTGGTTCGACTTCGGCTGCAAATTCGGTAACGTATTTCACTTAATATTCTTTTTTTCCAACGAAAAGTATTATTCCGATCAAACACATCCGATTTCCACTTTTATAAGTATTACGGGCAAATTACGGCCACCCCGCTGAGCTATGGTCAAATTACGAAAACCCCCTCTCCTATTTGGGTAATTAGTAATTACATCCACACAAGAGGGGTTTTTTCGTAATTTTGCCATACCTGAGGAGTGGCCGTAATTTGCCCTAAGTATTACTAATTAGTTGGCTAAAAATATTTATACTTGTGATTGTGGAACAGTTTTTTGCATCAAATGGCTTCCCTTGCCCATCAATGAGGAATCCATCAGACCACTATCTCAGGACAATTAACAAAGACTTTGATGTTGTAAGTAATTAAATTCAGAAATTAAATAAATAATCTCTCTCTTAATTAGTTTTATTTTGTTACATTATTTCGAGAAATTGGACACAACTGATTTTTGTACGTATAGGATATCGAACAAGGACTCGACGGAACCATAACTGCAACGGAAGCAGTCAAAATACTTGCTGATTCGTACAAGTCTTCAAACGCATTCGACCACGTTCAAAAACGAGTACAAGATATATGTCTAAAGGTATACATATATAACTACATGCATTAACGTTGAATATATCTAAGTATATATTCATTCGAAAATATTAATTACTCGTTTTGAAATTTGTATTTAGAGTGGAGAAGCATTGGAGAAGAAGGGAAGCCATGCAGGGTTTATTACTCAATGCATTGTTCTAACTCAAAGATCGTTTGTGAACATGTATCGTGATCTCGGCTACTATTGGCTTCGTTTAGCGATATATATCGCACTTTGCTTGTGTGTCGGAACTATATATTATGACATTGGCCATAGCTATGGATCAATTCAGGTAATTAATTTCTCATTTTAATGAATTTTTATATTGATGAGAATTTAAATTCACTAATCGATAATTTTTTTTTTGCGATATGTTTTCGCAGGCTAGAGGCTCGATGCTGTTTTTCGTTGCCGCTTTCTTGACATTTATGGCTATTGGTGGCTTCCCTTCTTTCGTCGAGGACATGAAGGTAATAAATTAATATTCGATAAATTAATAACTTCGCTTAAATAATAGTTTCTCCTGGTCCCGACACGTTAAAACCAACTAAATTATTAGTTCGATAATTTAATATTTCGCTAAATTAATAGAATTTTGTTAGTCCGAACTGTATTAATTTATAGAGGTTTAATTGTATCTCCCTTTTTTTTCTTTAATAATTAATCGTATTTCCTAGGGTTAGACAATGTTGATTCGACCGGTTTGGTATATTCACCCGCCTATTAATAAATGGGTCGGGTACGGATACTAAATGTCGTTACCGCCCCTTATATATGTGTATGTATTACTATAATGCTCACATTTTCCGTCTTTTCAACTGCAGATCTTCACACGAGAAAGACTGAACGGCCACTACGGCGTGGCCGCGTTCGTCGTGGGGAATACAATATCTTCCATCCCGTACTTATTGCTTATCTCACTACTACCGGGGGCAATGGCCTATTACTTAGTCGGCTTGCAAAAAAGCATCGACCACTTCGTATGCTTCTTGCTAGTTCTATTCACGTGCATGATGCTGGTCGAGAGCCTAATGATGATCGTCGCGAGCGTGGTCCCCGATTTCCTCATGGGGATCATAACGGGGGCCGGGATCCAGGGGGTGATGATGCTCAACGGGGGTTTCTTCCGGTTGCCCGACGACCTCCCAAAGCCGTTCTGGAGGTACCCTATGTACTATATCGCGTTCCACAAGTACGCGGACCAAGGGTTCTTCAAGAACGAGTTCGAAGGGCTTACGTTCCCGAACGAGCTGGCGGGAGGTGCGGCGACTATTACGGGGGAGGAGATCTTGAGGAATGTTTGGCAAGTTGAGATGGGGTACTCTAAGTGGATTGATGTTGCTATTCTCTTTGGTATGGTGGTTTTGTATAGGTTTATGTTTTTGGGTATCATAAAAGCTAAGGAAAAGTTTAGGCCTATGATTAGAGCTTTTCTTGCGGGTAATGCGAAGGATTAGGAGTGCATATATACTATAGTTTGAATAAGTGCTTTTGAACAACTTATTAAGGTTTAGTTTAAGTGGTTTTGAAATTGCTACTATAATGGAGTTTGGTGAGAGGTCGGGGGTTCAAATCTCTTTGAATTCACGTCTTTTGTTTGTAAAATGCCACATTAAAAGGCAACTATTTTGTATTGTGTGTATTTTTTTTAAAGAATCTTGTTGCATATTGCTTTGTACTTACTTTTACTAATTTAATTTGTTTTACATTAATGAATGATTGTCATTTGTAAAATAAAATTGTTAGTAAAATGAATATAAGTGTTAGTAATCATTGATAATTTCTTTTGTTTCATATTATCTGCCACTTTTTAAAATTTCAAGTCTGCATTAATTATATATTTTCCAATTATACCCTTAAATAAGGGTATTTTGATCTATCAATATCTATATATTTTTCTAAAATTAAGACATATTTATTGAGATTTTTAAAACTTGTGGCAAAGTGAAAAAACGACACCTATTTATGAAATAATATATTATTTATATTAAACAGTTCAATATGAGATGAATATTTAAATTGAATAAAATAATATTCATGGTTGGGAATTTGGATTATAATCTAATAAAATTTTGGAAAAGACTACTGAAACATTTACATCAACGGGCCTACCTATATTTACGGATCAGCCCGTATTAATCTTTTCGGATCTTTGTGACCCAACTGAAAAGCCCATGTTTAACAGTAATTAATGAGCTCGGCCGAGGGGTTATCCCTTTCTGCAATTCACACACAGTGGAGGAGAGAGAGATTGATGGAGGAAGAGGAGCACGAGGTGTACGGCGCAGAAATTCCCGACGAAGGTGAAATGGACTCCGACATCGAAATGGATTTGGGGGGTGGGGTGGAATACGATTTTATTAATTTACTGAATCAAAGACCCTACAGAGGTTTGGGGGCTCTATAAATTGAAATCGACCAAATAAAGATAGAACTTAATACATTAAATTAAGGTACGATATTTTTTATTCAAGGAATCAAATTGTTATAATTCTTTCAATTATTTCACGATCCATATATCTGAATTAAGTATCGGAGGGGCTTCCACCGGATCGATCCCGACTTAGTTCACGTTTATTTTTATCGCATGAATCTCCAAATTATTAAGGAGTTTCAAGAATATCGAGCACGTGATTACCCGATTCAATATTTTTATAGGTGACTATTAAACATCATCATATACATAGGATTGGGTCACCAAAATTTCGTAGCCATTGATGACATTAGTTTGAAATCATTATTATGCTTTTTAATAAATATTAATTTGAGTTCACAAAAAGAGTAACATAACTTTTATCTAAATCCTCACCTAGAAGTTATACCTAATATGAATGATAATATTAAGTAGAATTTGAATAGTAATCACCAATTAATAGCTAGGCCACCAAACATATTATTCAATAACTTATTTAGCTTAGCAGAATTAGGGTTGAAAGTCAGATATAATGGATCAAATTTATCTTCTTCTTTTTTTTTTTTCCGATTTCTTTGGAAAGTACAAAACATTTTTCAATTTCAATTTTAAAATTTAGATATTCATTTCAATTCCAAAAGGTAATTACAACCCTCGATTATGAATCTTCTTACACTTCAATCCTTATGATGTTAAATTCAACATAATCTTCTAGATTATGTGGAATGTTCTCTAATTTATACTTGTTTTGTGCAAAAAATGCAGTTTCTAATGCCAATCTGATATATACACAAAAAAAAAAACACATCTTATGATCATCTTGTTTCTAAATGTGGAGCTCGAATGAGATAAACCGGTTACAAACTTGAGAATATTTCATATAATCAAGAAGATTCCATATAATAGAAAAGATTCCACTAAATTTAACATCATAATGGTGGACGTGTAAGAAGACTCACAGTTGAGGGGTAATTGTAATCACCCAAACATGAGAGATTTTTTCGTAATTTGACTTTCCCTCAAGGGTTGCCCGTAATTTAACCTAAAATATAAAAATGCCAATTACAAAAAAAAAAAAAAATTAATGCAATTAATTTATCGTGCCTAATCCAAATTCCTCACCCCACGCGCGCGCGCATATATATATATATATGGGATTTTTATGCAAAAGTCCCCAACCAAGCATGTTTATTATTCTAGGTTTAGGGGACATATCTCTTTTACCAATAAGCCCATCCCTTTAATATTTATTATAACTAAAGGAAACATTCATGTATATCCCAATATTACCCTCAACCATTTATACCCAATTCTTAATTGTAATCCAAATTAATCAATTTTGTCCATAAAAGTTCAATTTTGACCACAAAAATTCAATTTTGACTTTTTTTTGGAGTATAATTTAATATGCTCCAATTTCATCCTTAACTTAATTTAATCTCAATTGACCCCAAATTTCACAAATTATTAAATTTTGACCCAAAATTTTTTTTTTTTCAAAAAATATTTTTTTTTTCAAAAACTTTTTTTTTGCCTCCGGATTCCGGCGTTGACTTTTTTAAATTTTTTTTTTTTTTTTTTTTTTTTTTTTTCTTTCTTCCGGATTTTTTCGCCGGTTTCCAGCGTTGACCGGCGGTCAACGCCGGTCTCCGGCGTTGACTTTTTTTTTTTTTTTTTTTTTTTTTTTTTTTTTTTTTTCTTCCGGATTTTTTTTTCCGCCGGATTTTTTCGCCGGTTTCCGGCGGTCTCTTTTTTTAGTGTTTTTTTAAGTTTTTTTTTTTTTTTGGTTTGTTTTGTTTTTCCACGTCCGCCGCTAAACGTTGACCGTAATTGTGCTGTCACTGACAGTAAATTAACGTAATTATACTGTCAATGATAGTTAATTAACGTAATTGTACTACCGTTGACATTACATTTATGTAATTGTGCTGCCGTTGACAGTAAATTAATGCAATATTATATTTTTTTATTTATTATTATTTTTTTTTATTTTTTTTTGATTTATTGACAAGTCAACGTAATTATATTACTGTCGTTGACAGTAAAATAACTGTAAACACAATAATATTACTGTCAACAACATCAATATTATTATTTTTTTGTGGTGTTTGTATTAATATTACTGTCTATTATTGTAATATTACTGTAAACACAATAATATTACTGTGGTTGACGGTAATATTACTGTTTGTTATAGTAATATTCCTGTCAACCACATCAATATTATTCTTTTGTTTGGATATTTTGTTTGTTTGAGTTATTCACGGAGTAACGTAATAATATTACTGTCTACTATTGTAATATTACTGTTGCTATAGTAATATTACTGTCACTCACAGTAATATTAATTCTTTTGGTTTTTTTTATTTTGTTTAAATTTGTTGAACGGACAACATAGTAATATTACTTTATTATACAATAATAATGAATTTTGTTGTGTTAATATTAATGTGCTAGAGATTAATATAGCAATATCACTGTGTTAAACTATAGTTTAGTTATTTTTACTGTGTTTAACAGTAATATAGTTAATATTACTGTCATTCAAAGCAATATTGTTGTTTAAACGGAAAAAAAAGTTACAGAAAAAAAAATTAAAAAAAAAATAAAATAAAAAAAATAAAAAAAAGTCAACGCCGGAGACCGGTGTTTACCGCCGGTCAACGCCGGAATCCGGAAAAAAAAAAAAAAAAAAAAAAAAAGTCAACGCCGGAATCCGGCGGAAAAAAAAAGTTTTTGAAAAAAAAAAATTTGTGAAAAAAAAAAAGTTTTGGGTCAAAATTGAATAATTTGTGAAATTTGGGGTCAAATTGAAGTTAAATTAAGTTAAGGATGAAATTGGAGCATATAAAAGTAAGATGGGTTATTTTAGTCCTTTACATAAATCTGGACCATGTGTGGACTTATTGGTAAAGGAGAATATTGTCTGGATCTCTTTATGAATAAGTTCCCACTGATGGGCTTATTTGTAATATGCCCTATATATATATATATATATATATATATATATATATATATATATAGGGACAAGTACAGATAAATCCCCAACTCAAAAACTAACATACGGGTCAGTCCCCAGTAATGTTTCACTAGCGGGTCAGTCCCTACAGCAAACATAAACATGCAGTTCAGTCCCTGACCCCACTTTTTTCCACTTTATACACTCTCTCTCCTCTCTCCTCTCGCCTCTTTCTTCTATTTCTTCTACACTCTCTCTCCTCTCTCCTCTTTCTTCTACACTATCTCTTATCTGGCATTTTTCTTCCATTTTTTCTCTTCTGCTTCTCTCTCCTCTTCGTTTCCTCATATTCTCTGTTACAACTTTTTGTTTTCCGACCGCGAAAAAAAACTGTAATTTCCCACAATGGCAGCAAATGGTGAATCAAACCCCATCGCCGCTGGTATTATTGGAAGTTGTCGGTACAATGATTCTCTGCACATCATTTCCATTAAGAATGATTCGACTTTAAAGGAGATCTATGAATCTATCTTAATGAAGTGGAACGATATACATCCCGACAAATTGGTGCTCCAATACTTGGCTCCCCGTGAAAGAATGTTCGTCACACTGACTTCTGACGAAGACGTGGTGAATATGGTTACATTGCATTTGGTAATGCACATGAGTGTGGTCGACATTATGGTGAGCCGCACTGATGAACTTGATGGGCGTAGAAGGAGGACCCCCAGCAACGGGTATGCAGCCATTCTGTTTTGTATGCATTTGCAATTTGTTTATGTAATCATAGCATAGAATATAATACTACATAGTATCGTGTTACTATAGTGATAGTGTAGAATAACTAAGCTCGTAGTATCATATAAGGCTACTAATAGTATTGAATCATTGTATATCAAGTATCTTATAAATTGAGTTCTCGTATGCAAGCATTCCACTCAAAGTACTTATTTCAATTGTTACAATTTATTTGTAGTCCACTGTAATAATCCAATTTGTTTCATTGTTTTTGCATTTTCCAGTGAGTCTGTTAGTTCCAACAGTCCGTTGCAAATTGAGTACAATCCGGTTGGAGATTCAATTGATGCATGGAGACATTGCATACGCGGGGAGAATCAAATTTTCAAAGATGCTAATGATTTTAGGTTTATGTTAAAAAATTACTGCATTGCTAACAATCGAACCTTTAAGTACAAGAAAAATGATCAACAAAAGATCATAGCCGTATGCATTGTTGAAAATTGCAAATGGAGGGTTTATGCATCAGTTCATAAATCAGACAAGTTATTCGGCATTCGCAAATGTATTCTTGAGCACAGTTGTGGTGATGCTACTCTTCGTACAAGGGGTCATCCCAAAGCCGATGCTACGTGGATTTCGCAACTTATGAAACAAAAATTGAGAGATGAGCCAGGTTACAAACCAATTGCTATTTTGAATGAGGTCCAAAGAAAGTATGGTGTGGAGCT